TTCGTCTTGATCTTCAGCTGTGTCTTTTCAAGGCGTGGCTTCAACGTAAGGGTTTGATAAATAGTGATGCCAACACATTTTTGCGTCATTTTGTGCAGGACGCGTTGACCATAGAACTCAGCTATGAACCACTGCCTGGCCAGTGGAAGACATTCGCGCCAGTCCTCGTCGCATTTGGGGGTAGCTTCCATTGGTGAAAATACGACGTCAGAATAGCCAGATCAGCTGTGAGCATGCAGCTTAGCTTCTGCAAGTCGGTATGTTCGGTTGCCAGTTCGATATCCTCTGCGTAACTCAAGTTATTCTTCGACGCTGTTGGTATACATCGCAAGCATCTATGAAAAAGGTACCGCACCTAATGGGATCCCGTTGTTAAGGGTTTGCTTGCTGACCCCCTCCCCCGTCACTGTGCACCCCAATACCTACGGTTGCTACTCACTGCTGCAACAAGGCGAAGGGTCTTTTGCCACTTAATTGCTTCAGAAACTTTGCACATCAGACTACGCCAAGCCATGTCATACATCGTTGATAGGTCCCTCAGAACCAGCCCTGGCATTTACCTTCGATGAAAGTTTGCAGGTAAACAAAAGCATCTGATCGTGACCAGATCAGAAGCAAGCTTGTTCAAGACAGAGGGTGGTTATAATTGTGAGGGAAAGCCGCCTTAACAAAGTCCGCATCACGTTTCCTCACTTTGCGCAGAAAAGAAATAGGCTCGTTGCTGTCTCGTCTCTCCGGAGGCCTTACCGCTTAGGGAATAAGGGCGATGAATTTGACATGTGGTTAGGCGGACGGAATCTGTTCTACTGTGTAGACTGCCGTGAAAAGAGAGGCCAACTACTGTTGACTATTTCAAGCCAAGTTCTCAAGCAATTCCTGGAAAATCCAATCCAGGTAAGAGGTCTTCGTGGTATTTATAGCCGCCAGTCCATATATATATATATATGCATTATGTCTAAACGGCATCCGGTATTTCCGCAGTCTCCGTTTATCGTCTCTACTGCTCTGAATTCAGGGATTCGATTAGAACAGCTGCCAAGGGATTCAGGGGATTACTGGCGTCGGCATTCTCTCTAAGTTGCTCTTTTACCAACAAGATGTGTGCAGATTTTCCTGTAGCCACGACGAATGTTGTTCGCCGTAGTCGAGGTGAAGACTCACACAAAAGTGCGGTATGATTGAGGCGTCGTCTCGACCCGTTGGAAATGGTCATCTACCCTATCACTGTACGATAGCCAGTCAGCAGAGCGGATTCACAAAGCGGTTCTGGCCCTACAGGTTGTAGCCTGGCTTTTCCGAAAGAATCCAATCACTGTCCTGAAAACAGGGAGCGGGATGCCGCTACTGCCACTGGAGACGACACACATGTCCAGGCTTCGCGATCAGTTTTCCGTCTGGCTGATCCGAACGTAGCTTGCTGTTTAGCACAGTGACATGCATATGCCAGCTGCTGATGTGCAGTCGGTTAATTGTTCCCCCCGGCCGCATCGTTCGCTGCGCAGCCCCGTGCCGAATGGTGGCTGCTAACGTCGTATGCATAAACAGCTGCATGAGGCAGCGTGGCTAGCGTCGGTGCTGGCCGGCTGATTCCGGCTTGTTTGTTATATGTTCGTTACGGCGATTTCGCTGACCCTTGGTGTTCGAGTACCTGATCTTCGATAGTGTTTGACACGGCGATATCCATGAGGTCAACTATCGCATAGGTAGCTAAACGGTGTTTGGCGTCATTGATGTTAGGGACCATACCGAACCTGGAAATTTTCTAGCTAGGTGTCTAAAGGATTCATGCTCAGGACACAAAATGCAATAGGTGGTGAAACCTTTATCGCTATCGCATTTCCCGACGTACACCGTAGCATCGTAAGGGCAAGCTTTTGTACTTAGCCTAGCCCTCGTGATGCTGATGCTACGGTCAACACACGAAACGCGTTGGCAGTAAAGGTTTTACCATCCGTTGCAATTGGTGCTTTTTACCATGAATCGTTTAACCACCATTCTATATGACCATGGGCTCAGAATCAAAATTCTGAAGTACTATAAAAAAATTTTCCATCTACCCTCTTTCCGATCGTCTTTGCTGTCTGACTCATGCAAGATCATGACGCAGATCTTGCTTTCTTTCACAGTGCTCGAGAGTTAGTAGTATTTTGTGTGGGACATAATTTCGACATCCAAATGGAAAATGCTGAGCGTGCGGCCTTAGAAGGACCATTGCGTTTCTTTGCTGCCGGAACCGGGAGCAAGACGATAACCGTCCCATGGCGATGCCTCGATTATGTACCGTAAAAGTGCGTCAAATCATAACCACACAACGGATGTTGCGTAAGCAATCTCTGTGTTAGGCTAACAACAAACCCAACGGTCCTTCTCAGGAACAAAAGTGTAATCTATCATGGAATAAAATCAACATTTCTTATGAGGGCCATAGAAGACGAAGGGAAAACCCAACAAAGATAGTAAATAAGACAAGACAGGTCACAAATAGGAGATCAGTAAATTCACGATTGTCACCGGTTTTGTAGCCGTTATTTGGATTTATCTGCTATGAACTGCGGCTTTTTCCGATAGCGGTGTTGAACAATTCCGCGGGAGGAATGGTCTGCTCTCATCATGGGCGAAAACGTCTGCGATAGCTTTGCTCATCGCGCCATTTACTGTGATGATCATGGTTTGCTGGTGGCGCAGTCGATTGAGGAGTAAAAGAGGTAGTAGTTTTTAACGGATAACTGTTGTAAAGATGCGGTGTTTATCAGCTTATCAATAATTGCAAGACCTGCGACTATGCGTTCTGATCAGCAGATATTCACGCAACTGGATCACTAGCCATTTTCGCGTCGATGCGTTGTTGTAGCATCATTCTTCTGCTTCATAGGCCCGCAATGTACGAATAATGTCTGCATGGGGGTTCATCACTGGTTTAAGTGCGGACAGGTAGCACGGGGAGAAAGAGACGACTGAAATTCGCTTTGGTATTTCGTACAGGTAAATAAGTACTTTTATACGAATAACCGCGTTCCATCAATGAATAAAACGAAACTCACTGCCTTCTTCACTATTCCGTACATAAAAAGCTTTCTTATGCTATTTATCTCTACTTCATAATAAATAACGAGAAATGCGTGGTTTTGACCTTGTGTCGATTACCGCATTGAATACAGCTATTGGCGAAAGAGGGGGGGGGGTGACGGCGATGTGCATCCATTAAAGACTCTTGTATCAGAAACCACAGCCGTGATTGTTTCAAAATACAGGGTCATGAGTTCCTTGTTCATCAGAATTAGCGGTTAAGAGAAACTAGTTGCTCTTTCTCCTTCGGGTTTCGACCCGTGCACCTCCGGAGGCACCTGCGTGCCGACCGCTTACAACTGTGCTGCCGTTGATTCTACCAGCACCGTAATGTGCCCTGTATGTGCGCGTATTCTGATTCATCACCGTCGGAATTGTTTATGCCACTTATCGTATAGTGATGCCTACTCCACTGAAAGTAAACACAAGCAAAGTCTGTAGTGCGTTCAGTTTTTCGACTCTAATCCGTTGACGAACCGGTATGCAAACACCGGTCCACCGAAGAAGTCGTCCAAAGCTCATTTCTATCACTATAGGTTTACAGTAAGTAAATTTTCGACGCCCGATTCCTCAGGTGATAAAATCGCAACATTGGGGGAAAAAGCTACTGGGCAACGTGTTGACGTCTACACACGAAAAACCGTTGTTGTTCGACGATCGACGGATCGACGTAATGAGGATTTGTACTAATTGGTTGTTTCTTCTTTCAGGCAAAAGCTTCCTCATCGGTCACGGAAACGACCCCTTCGAAGCGGTGGCCAGGTGTTTTGTCGAGTAATGGAGCCGACGACGACTGATCAGTTTGTCACCGGTGTGTTTGTTCAGTCGGTGTGACAGTGCGAGCTGACGACGCCAGGCGTCGCGTGCAGTCGCTGTGTGGATCTGCCCGAAGAGACGAACAAATGTCCTTCAGGTCCATCGAGTGACCTTTCACATTCGACCGTTGCTGTGCCACCGCGGTTCATCTCCTGCGAACGACAGCGACCTTGAAACGCGCAGGGAAGACAGCGTATCGTCACCGTCAGGCAGGTGTCAGCGACAGTGGTGGTGGTGGTGGTGGTGGTGATGGTTGGCCGTGTAGAGCGCGCCCGCTTCGCAGCCTCAATGCAACAGCTGCACACAGAGAATGAGTGATAATCTGAGGGAAACGAGAGTACACGCGACAAGGCCAAGCTGTGTTAACTATAATTCGACTGCGGCTTCGTTTTTGTTTCACCTCCTTGTGTTCGTATCATACTGAGGAGGCGTATAGACGAGCAGGCAGCCGTCGTTCTGCCATCATCGTTGCGGTCAGCCGGTGAGACAGCCTGTATTTAATCTGTGTGTGAGTGTAGCGAGTGACGACAGTCGACCGGTTTTTTGGCAAGGGGGCAAGAAACAGGGAAGGAAGTTTCCAGTCGTCGCCAGTCGTTCCAGTCGATTCCTCTACTGTTGTCACAGCCCCTGTGCCTCGGATAGAAAGAAGAGCGCAGGCGGTGGTGACGGAGAAGCAGCGGCAGCGGCAGCAGCAGCGGCGAAGAACTGCTCTGCTCTTCGTTCCGTCCGTCCTTGTTCAACGACGCGCCTCGTCAGCTGTTGGAGTTCGAGTCTCGAATCGGATCGGATCGGATCGGATCGGGTCGGATAGGATCGGATCGTCTGTTGTGCTCCGAAGGCGTGTCTGTCCGTCGTGTGGTAGTGGTCGTCGGTCAGCAGGCCGGCAGAGGAGATTGCGTTGCGTTCAGGTTGTGAATGAGGGAGGCTGCGATGCGCGTGTCGACGACACGACGGTCAGTCGCCTGGTCTGCTGTCCCTGTCACTCGGCGACCGGTCAACAACGGTATGTGATCAACGGACCGGTACCGCG